CACCCGGTTTGAGGTCGAGGGCGACATCAGAGATCTCCAAGGGTCACAAGTTAAGTTGAGCACCCCTGGGTTAAAGGAAAGTTCTTGATTCCTCCATCAACACTGACTGTGTTGATGGGGGGAAATCCCTCTTGCAGTGCTATTGTGTTCTTCTGGTGTGTAATGCAGGGAACCTTCCCCACCAGAAGAATACAATGATCACTGCTGTTGGCTATAACCATTGGCAGTGATTGGATGGAAACAACCCCAACAGGCTGGTTGTACAGAAGTCGATTGATTGATCAACTTCCATACAACCAGTTTGCTCACAGATTGATCAGAATTCATCTGATTCCTGCTGTTTGACTATATATGGACCTCAGGGGATTTTTATGTTTAATTTCCTGTAGTTTTTACTTTTACTTTTTTAAGAACACATAGTATGCACAAATCACTGTGACGGAACAGTTTCTGTTTTGTATTGCAAAGGAATGTTGATTAAATTACTTTTTGTACATTTCTTAAAATGTTCAGCATGAACGTAATCCACATTATCGGCGCTTTTTAAACCCTCTTTGGTATGTCTTTGAATCTCTGCAGCCACATTGTTCTGAAGCATTGCTTGTTCATCAGTATAATTCATTAGAATGTTTATCTCCCTGGAAGGAAATGCATTCATTGGCACTCGCCGTAATCGAGTTTCTCTTACTTTGTTGAAATTTAAATTACATTCCTGCGCTGTTATTTTGTTATCCAACATTTTATCTTGTCTTTGTAAGTCATTAGGGCTGTTTTTTTTTCATGTTCGAATTGCATGCATTATGAGGAACTGGGCACTTTTAATGCTCTGTGCGTATCTGCTCTCGTTTTCTGTACGTTTCTTGATTAACGGGATGCTTTTTGTTTCTTCTCTTTATTTTGGCCAGACAGGTAATGTTTTTTTTTTTAATTAACCCCTAGATGTGCATTACAAGCAGAACAACCACTTTTTATTTTTATGGGGATTTGATGTGTACTTTATTAATATTGCAGACAATGTCTTTAGTCCTGTCAAAAAACCCATCTTCAATTTGACAACTTTATTAAATGCGGAGTAGGTAAATAGTCTTTATAAATCTGACCGGTCCTGATAAACCTAGCCATATTTGACATGTACAGTGGGGATCGAAAGTTTGGGCACCCCAGCTAAAAATGTGTATTAATGTGCATAAAGAAGCCAAGGAAAGATGGAAAAATCTCCAAAAGGCATCAAATTACAGATTAACATTCTTATAATATGTCAACAAAAGTTAGATTTTATTTCTATCATTTACACTTTCAAAATAACAGAAAAACAAAAAAATGGCGTCTGCAAAAGTTTGGGCACCCTGCAGAATTTATAGCATGCACTGCCCCCTTTGCAAAGCTGAGACCTGCCAGTGTCATGGATTGTTTCTCAATCATCATCTGGGAAGACCAGGTTGATGTCAATCTCAAAGGTTTTAAATGCCCAGACTCATCTGACCTTGCCCCAACAATCAGCACCATGGGTTCTTTTTAAGCAGTTGTCTAGAAAAACTGAAACTGAAAATAGTTGATGCTCACAAAGCTGGAGAAGGCTATAAGAAGATAGCAAAGCGTTTTCAGATGTCAATATCCTCTGTTTCGGAATGTAATTAAGAAATGGCAGTCATCAGGAACAGTGGAAGTTAAAGCAAGATCTGGAAGACCAAGAAAAATATCAGACAGAACAGCTCGCAGGATTGTGAGAAAAACAATTCAAAACCCACGTTTGACTGCACGATCCCTCCAGAAAGATCTGGCAGACACTGGAGTTGTGGTACACTATTCCACTATAAAGAGATACTTGTACAAATATGGTCTTTATGGAAGAGTCATCAGAAGAAAACCTCTTCTACGTCCTCACCACACAAATCATCGTTTGAACTTTGCAAATGAACATATAGACAAGCCTGATGCATTTTGGAAACAAGTTTTGTGGACCGATGAGGTTAAAATTGAACTTTTTGGCTGGATTGAGCAAAGGTACGTTTGGAGAAGAAGGGGCACAGAATTTAATGAAAAGAACCTCTGTCCAACTGTTAAGCATGGGGTTGGATCAATCATGCTTTGGGGTTGTGTTGCAGCCAGTGGCACAGGGAACATCTCACGAGTAGAAGGAAAAATGGATTCAATAAAATTTCAGCAAATTTTGGATGGTAACTTGATGCCATCTGTGAAAAAGCTGAAGTTAAAGAGAGGACGGCTTCTACAAATGGATAATGATCCTAAACACACCTCGAAATCCCATGGGGGATTACATCAAGAGGCGTAAACTGAAGGTTTTGCCATGGCCTTCACAATCTCCTGACCTCAACATAATTGAAAATCTATGGATAGACCTTAAAAGAGCAGTGCGTGACAGACAGCCCAGAAATCTCAAAGAACTGGAAGACTTTTGTAAGGAAGAATGGGCAAAGATACCTCAAACAAGAATTGAAAGACTCTTGGCTGGCTACAAAAAGGGTTTACAAGCTGTGATACTTGCCAAAGGGGGCAGTACAAGATATTAACTCTGCAGGTGCCCAAACTTTTGCAGACGCCATTTTTTTTGTTTCTGTTATTTTGAAAGTGTAAATGATGGAAATAAAATCTAACTTTTGTTGACATTATTTATAAGAATGTCTAATCTGTAATTTGATGCCTTTTGGAGATTTTTCCATCTTCCTTGGCTTCTTTATGCACATTTATACAAATTTTTAGCTGGGGTGCCCAAACTTTTGATCCCCACTGTAAATAGTCCTTCAGAATCACTCCAATTAAAGTGACCCTTTCTGTTCCTTATGCCATGCCATCCAACAGTACCTATGCCTAGTTTGTTACATGATTTTTATTGTCCCTTCTTCCCTGTAGCTCTCTAAACAATGGAAGCACTGTGTATATATCTACTGTATCTTCAGTGTGACATCTATGAGGTCTTGAGAGATAGAGAGATCTATTCAGGAAACACAAAACCTAGAGAGTTTATATGCCCTGCATTCGCTCTCAGTCCTCAGTTCTTGTGTCTCATGTCTCCTGCATACACACCTGTGCTTCTCCCATGTGGTCTTTCTGGAATTGGAAGAGGACACCTTCCCTCCCCATTTCACTAGCCAACCACCATGTGAAGCAGGCCAGTGGGACCATAGGTTGAAGGCAGAGGAGCATGGGGTCTGTATCTAATAATTGCACAGCACTATACCCTTACTCCCTTTAGCTGATGACCCTAAAGGCTAACCCCACCTTTTAAGACCCATATTTGAATGCAACGTGATGCTAGGCAGACCACCATCACCCCCAAAAACAAGCCAAACCCTGACTGCGTGCAGGAAATCTTCTCCCCTGCAGCAGCTGTCCAGTTCTGAAATTGTCACGGCTGTAAAGGGGTTCTGCCCATGCAGCTGCATGGGCCATAAAAAAAACAAACAAGTAAAAAAAAAAATATACAAGAGTTTTTTCAAAGGGTAAGTTCACCTTTTAAAAAAAATAAATGCACATTTTTTGCAGGTAGAAAAATGTGCATTTATATTTTTTTTCCTAAGTAGCCTGCTGAACGCAGGTGCAATCTCAGGCCCCTGCAGACTCTCAGCATAAGCTGTCTGCTCATACCTCATAGGGGCAGGCAGTTACCTGACATCAGAAAGATCAATGGACTACGAGGATGCTCACCAGCGCCCCCGTAGTTCATTGAGAACTACAAGCCGTCATCCACAATGGCTGTTTGGTACTTGTAGGCATTAATTCACAGGAAACTGTGAATGAAAGACGCAGCCATGTGGGCGAAGCCCTGCTTGGCTGCGCTGTTTTCAAATTTGTAACAGCGGTGCAGGTAGAAGATCCCCGTGCGCTGTCCACGGATGGGGGATGGGGGGCTGGACATGCTGGAACATTTTACATGTTCCACTCTTAAAACGGGTGTAGCATGTTTCAAAGGAAAACGTATCCTTTAATTACGGATCTGAATACAGCTGCATTGTTTTCAATGGAGCCAATCACACAGATACATAAACATGAGCTGTTTTCAGATCTGTAACACAGAATCCAAAATCTGGGTCTAAGAACATGCGATTTACACAATTGTAGAAACACATGTATATGTGTTTGTGCATAAATTAGGTCTAAACAAAAGGGAAAATAAATTATCATAAAAACAAGTTCTATATGCATATGTATCTATCTATGTAATAGCAAGTATTTTACTGATTATTACGCAGGAACTTTTCTCCTAGAAAACACGTGTAATAACATCCGTAAAATCTTTATGGCCGTGTGAATGAAATCTAATACATACTGTAGATTGGGCAGCAGTGCCATGGATAAGGGGGTACCACCAGTCGTCCTGTACAGGGCCCAGGAAGCTGAGTGAATTGGGCGTGGTCAGAGAGGATGATCAGCATGGTGGGGGTGCAATTACTGGAACGGATCCCTTCTATAGCTTTCTGCAGCAGCTGTAAAGCTGGCTCCTCTCCCTGCTGCTGGCTTTCAGCTGCTGCAGAGAGAATCATACAGGGGATGGGCTCCAGTAACCCGCCTCACCTTATCACCCTCCCTGTGCACCATACTTTTTCCCCCTGCTGCCCGGGCCCCCTGTGTGCCCCCCCCCCCCCCCCCCCCCCCGCAGTGCTGCCAGCTATCCGCCTCTCCTTCCTATCAGCAGCTGCAAGCACACAATAGGATCCTTCAGGATGGAGAGTGGGAGAAGGGGTCCAGTAAATATGTCACATTTTACCAGCCCCTTTCTTTCCTGGATGAACACAATGAATGCTCGGTACTGATCACACACTGTGTTCATTCATAACCAAAGCATAGTAAACTGTGTTTTTTTGGGGGTTTTTTTTTTGTTTTTGGGGGGGGGTCCCTGTCAGGTTGGGTGTATGGGGCCCATGGTTTTTCTAACAGCAGCCCTGTTGGGCAGATAGGTTGGTAAATAAAGATCTCTGTATTTCCTTAATATTCTGTTTCATAGTCTTGGTTAAATTCCCTGTTTTTGTTTTTTCTTTCAGGTCGCTCTCCCTGATTACTCTATATTCGGAAGACTGGGACTCTGACGGCGTTGTAATACCCAAAAATCTCCTGGATGAAAGATGAGCTTCTGCCAAGGCTGGCAAAGTGGTCCACGGAGGAGAGGAAAAGCGACTTTAAGAGCACCCTGTCTCTCATTGCTGTGGGTAAATATAGCAAGCTGTATCAGAGCCTGAAGGAGAAGTACAAAGATATGGTGAAGGTAGCTGTCATTCATCCATCACTTCCTTCCCAAACTGTTCATTTCTCAGCACAGAGATTAAAATGAAATCATAAGAATGAATTGTTTCCCAGGCACGCGTTCTGTCATTGTAAGCCACATATCATTTTCCAGCAGCACAAATCACGAGATGACGGGTAAAGCGTCTTGGTTAAATTTCACTCTAAGTACAGCTGCATATTTTTACAGTCGCTTTTTCACCGAAAAGTTAGCGTCCTTCCCTGGGCTCGCAGGGTGGGTGTCACACAGTATATAGCCACAAGCAAGGTTATGCTGGCTCATTGTGCTGAGCATTGGGTCTGCCTTTCATGGAACAGGCCATTTTGAGTTTAGTATTCATTTGAGCCCAGAAAGATGCCTCACAAAGAAAATGTTTTGTAGATGAGAAAAATTGATCTGTACTGCTGGAAATTTTCTGGTTATTTTCAGTAGAGGAGATTGATGCTTTTAATTGTTTTGTACAAAAGATCTTTCCAGAGTCTGGAGAGTACCATCTTTCAAGCTATGGTGGCTTTACTGTTTCTATCATGGTTATATTGCGGACCACTTTGCGTCAGAATCTCAGGGCTCCATTTGCTTACATAGAGTTTGACAGGTGGCATATTTGACAAATTTGGCATAATAATGCAAAGAATCATGACCATGGCAGTGTGTAATCATCTGAGCAACACCATGTCTGGTTGTAGGTGAGTGGTCGGGGGCAGGAAAAAAACCCAGATCGACTGCCTGTTTTTACTGCCCCCTGGCCTCCTTTCTGAATGGAGCCATCCATTGTACTACATCTTGTACACACAACCTTCAGCCTGTACAAGTGCAGAATGTACGGCAAGCTTTCAAAAATGCTTGCAAGTCTTTTAGCATGTTTCAGGCATATTTCATATAGTGAACCTGTGGTCAGACTATAGACATTCTTTATATTTCCTACAGTGTCGTCGTCCCCCCCCCCCCCCCCCCCCCCACAGCATCCATAAACTCCATATAAACATTCTTTATATTTCCTACAGTGCCCCCCCCCCCCCACAGCATCCATAAACTCCATATAAACAGTCTTTATATTTCCTACAGTGTTTCCCCCCCCCCCCCCCCCCCCCCCCCCCAGCATCCGTAAACTCCATATACCTATCTTGTTCCCACACCTCTCCCTCCCTGTGCACCAATGGCATGTCTTCTATTGATAGCTGCTGTTCTTCAGGAAGTTACTTTCCCACAGTTTTTATCAACTGTCGTACATGCACACTCTGTGAGTGCTTTTAGCCGTTTTAGTTTCACTGTGGAATGGAGTTACATGATTTGTGAAGTAATATCACCCAGAAGAGTAATTTTCCTTCTCGGTATTGCTCAGAATAGATACTGAGAGTCGGGAAATGTGCATTATCAAATAGACACAATAAGGTACTCTGAACTGGGAGTACTAGGGTTAAAGTTGTCTTTTTATTTAGTTAAATGTAATGGGGGAATAAAGTCTCGCTTTAAAACAAGACTCACAGACCTCTGTAGCTGCAGGCACTGTGGAGCACTGAAGTTGTTCAAAGTGATCTGAGTTTGCCCCTCCCAGAGCTTCTGCTCTGTGTTTCCTTTAGGGATTAGAAAGCTGTAAGGCTGCCAAGTCACTGGTGGGGTGGTATGGAGGGGAGCAGGGTGAGCTAAGCTGCTGGAAAAGTGATCTATTTGCTTGCTTCTGCGAAGTTTGAGATTTAATTGCTTCATAGTTCTTGCTGCTATGGAGGTCATTTAGGGCTTTTTTTTTAAAGTTTATTTCCATCTTTAGGAATATATAAATATTTCAGTGTCCATGATAACACTTTTAAAGCGAACCAGTGCCCTGACTTTGCACACTGTTGTAGAAATTTTATAGATGGGTAACATCCTATCTGCATATTGATTAGTGGTTCCAAATTAATAATCGCTACTGCAGTAGGGAACAGACACAAAAATAATGCAAACATGTGACCAAAACATTAGTGCAGTGTTCACTACATAGACAAAGCATACAAATAAAATACAGTTCTATAGAGAATGTTCAATTTCGTTTACAAAAAATGTATACCTTTTTAAGTATTTTTACATATTCAAAACAAGCCCCCCCGTTCACCTCAGTGTCTTAAAGCAGAACTAAAGTCTGCTTTAAAAAACTGCAAGCGGTTTTCTTTAGAATTTACACTGAGCTGTGCAGCTCCGATTACATTCTGGCACAAATCCTCTGTACTGGGATGACTGAATTTCTTTGCGTGTGCAGTTGTCCTGCACTGGCCAATGAAGACCGCCACAGCTTGGTACCAGGAAGAAGCCAAGTAGAAATGCCGGTTCTGGTGAGGGACATGAGCATTGAAGGAGCGGTAAGTATTGTGGACTTTTAGTTCTACTTTAAAGTGGAGCTCCTCCACCCAACAGAGAAAGTTCCAAGTTAAGACATCCTCCCCCCTCCTCTGCCTAACCTGACATGTAGTTTTGTCAGATAACCGCTCCCACTTCTTCTCAAATGAACTAGGCGAGTAGTTCACTTAGTCCCCCCTCTCCCCCTTGCAGTCTTCTGGGACACGTGACAGGTCCTAGATGACTGCGGGACCATTTACAAAGCGCAGCATGAAGAACTAGCCTGGGGTGAGCATTGTGCTCTATCCTGAGAAGTGTCCATTTAATAAAATGAAGCAGCTATAGGATTTGTAGCTGTTCACTTTTATTTTTTTTTCTACAGACTGAACCTCTGCGTTAAGGCATTGTGGAGGATTGCATTTCCAAAGTTCACAACAAGCACAGGCACAAGGCAAGGAAATCTTGGCTTTTTTTCTATGAGAGCAGATCTTGTCAGTCTGTCAGCCTTCTACTGCAAAAACACATACATTCCTAGTTAAAATGGTTGTAAAGTCACGTAGATCAGTCACTGGTATCCCCTCCTTGTTGTAACAAGATATAAAGTGCAGTGTGTTTTGGTTTTTTTTAAATTATGATAAATACCTTCTTGCAGAGCTCCGCTGTGCTGTCACATGACCTCCCTCCACGCTCCTTCCCCGATCTAAGAGCAGTGGGAGGGGCTGAGATTCTCCTCTGATGTATGCTGATCAGCAGAGGGAGGTCACGTGACCGCACAGTGGTGCTCTACAAGAATATATTTAGCATTGTAATTAAATAAACACACATACTGCACTTTATATTTTGTTACAACAGTGGGGATACTAGTAACTGGGGTATGTAACTTTACAGGCACAGTGGAATTAGAGGCAGGAGGGGCGGAGAGACATAGGCTACTGAACTGACAGACAGGGAGGGAGAGGGTGAGAGTGTACACACAATGGAATGACGGAGGCACGTAAACTGACCACAGCATCATGGATCAGTAGCCATGATAACCGTGGTCAGTACATCTAAGGAGAGATAGGAAAAGGTAGGATCAACCAGGTATTTTACAAAATAAAAAGGGACAAGTTACACTGAAAATGTGCTGTGCTGTTTAATATGCTTTAAAGGAACAGAAGCTTTTTTTTTTTTTTTCATAGGGTTACAACCGCTAAAAGTTTATGTAAATAATCTAATGTCCATCGTCTGGGCACGGGTGCATTTTAAAGAATAAGTGGACTTTCATTCAAAGTGCAATTATTTATTCTCCCCCCTCCCCTTCTCCTATGCTGACCTAACAGAGCCCACTGTGATTCTATCATTCTTGCATAAGAAATCAATAACTGCTTGAAAAGTTAGTGCTATTCTTTTCTTCCCCCCCAGGTCTGGCCTGAAGTGACAGACCCTGAAAAGTTTGTGTACGAGGATGTCGCCATAGCAACCTACTTATTAGTAAGTCCATTATTTGCAGCAGCCGTTTGCCTGGTTGAGGCTGAAGTGCTTGTTTTTTTGTTATATTACACATATTTTGACCTGAATCTATTCCTGAAATGCCGTTTAGCGTGCTGCATTGGCTGTGACTTTAAAAGTCTTCAGTGGGTGAAGGTGACTCAAATGTCATTTCACACTAATGGCCTCCTAGCCTTATCTTCCAGTACTGTTGTGTGAGTCTCTGTCTTTGGAAATACAGTTGGATTTATTAAAGTGACCCTGTCATTTCCAAGAAAAATTTTAAAGTCCAGCAAGTACAGGAACTCAAAGCTTATGTAAAACCTATTTTTCAGTATGTGTGACATCATGCCTCTGTATAGTTTCTTAACCACCTCCGCTCCAGAAGGTTTTACCCCTTCATGACCAGGGCATTTTTTGTTATTTAGCACTGCGCTACTTTAACTGGTAATTGCACGGTCATGCAACGCTGTACCCAAATGAAATTTATTTAACTTTTTTCACACAAATAGAACTTTTCTTTGGTGATATTTGATCATTACTGGGTTTAAAAAAAATGCATTATATAAATGAAAAAAGAACACAAATTTTGAAAAAAAATATATTTTTCTTTCTGCTATAAAACATAAGCAATTAAAAAAGATTTCTTCATAAATGTTGTCCAAAATGTATTCTTCTACATGTCTTTGGTAAAAATCCCAATAAGTGTATATCAATTGGTTTGTTTGAAAGTTATAGTGTCTACAAACTATGGTGTGTGTATATATACTGGAATTTTTTATTCATTTTTTTTTTTTTTTCTATTTATACTAGCAGTGGCGTTGATCAGCGACTAACAGTGGGACTGTGATAGTGTGGCAGATAATCTGACACTAACTGACACCGACATCACCAATTACACTAATACAGTGATCAGTGATTATAGTATACACTGTCATTGTGGCTGAGAGGGGTTTAAAGTCTCAGGGTAAACAAGTGGTTAAGTGGTGCCTTTACAAGTGTAAATATTTAAAGTGTTGCTAAACCCAGGACCCTGCATTCACTATATCTGGTCTCCCCGGACCCTGAATTCACTATATCTGGTCTCCCCGGACCCTGAATTCACTATATCTGGTCTCCCCGGACCCTGAATTCACTATATCTGGTCTCCCTGGACCATGCATTCACTATATCTGGTCTCCCGGCCGTGCATTCACTATATCTGGTCTCCCACAGTACACAGAACATGGAAGTGCAATTATTTTAGTAAATATGAATTGCTAAATACCTTTTCTCATCAGCAGTTAGAGCAGTCTTGTGACTTTTGTCAGTGTCCAGCTGAGCACTGGTTAAAGCTTGTAGGAAGAGTTTTCATTTTGCTCTAGGAGAATGCAGGACCCCTTACCCTCTGTCTAGACAGTGCTGACTGTCCCTGTGCTGATCATATGCACTCTCCGAAGGTAATAAAAACTCTATAGCAATACACACCAAACTGAGCATGTGCAGAGTGACTCTGCACGATATGTCTGTTTTTTGACAGCGATGGGGGAATTCTTCCATCCACCTCATTTGTGTGGATGGAGAAATCTGTTCGTTTTAGCTCAATGGTTGAACGAAAAAAAGCTACCCATATATGACAAGCTTAAGAAAGCCATTACATGAATTTATTGACATATTAACAAATCTCTGTCCATGGAATGGGTCTGTGCTACCTGCTCACCCATACCTGGATTTCATTGTTTCACTGTCCTCGAGTCCTCACACACAGCTCTCCTTAAATACACTCCTGACTTCTCCCCTCTTCTGCCTGGTATTTTCTCTCTTCACGCCTCTCCTCTTACTTTGGTGTCCAGTCTTTTGGCCATAAACCCTTCAGATATAATTACATACAGTCCTTAAAGTGGAACTTTGCTATACCTTGCTAAAATTTTGTTTCTAATCTTTAATAACTGTCCCAGTATGTAAATGAAAAACACTTTTCAAAGACTAAAGCCTGCCATACACGGGTCGAATTCCGAAAGAATTTTCTTTCTAAAATCTTTTCTAAGAATTTTTGTTCGAATTTTGCACCATTAGTGGGTTACAGAAACGGACGATTTTCATGTGACCATCGAATTTGAGTGATCGGGCATGTTGGAATTTTTTGAAAGACGAACAAATTTCTAATCAATGATGGGAGAATCGTGCGAGAAATGTAATCGAAAAAGAAAACAAGCATGAGCTGTGACCTGGAAAGAAATTCTTAGCCACAAAAATTATTTTCTGTAGCAACAGGAGGTGAAATTGAAGACTTGGTTGGTCGAATTTCGAAATCAATGGTGGCACCATCGAATTACAAAACGCAGAAAATTTCCGATTTTCTAAAGAAAATTTGTTCGGAATTTGACCCATGTATGGCCTGCATTACTCATCCATGAAGTCCAGAGTTGTCTTCTTTCCAGCCCAGGAGCAATGCTGGAGGCAATTTACAGCACACGCTAATTTTGGTAGCATAATTATTAATGTGGAATGTATGTTCTTTTTTTAACCACTTCCTGTCCGGCCCATGTACATAAACGGCCAGCATGGAGCAGTGCAGGAGCGGGTTGCCGTTTTTATAAACTGTGCCCACATTTACAGCTTGTGCGCTCTCCCTGCAAGTGATTGGAACACCAGTCACTGTATGGGACCTCTGTGTGAGGTCCCGATTCATGTGATTCTTGATTGGCCAATCAGTGATCACATGCATAATAGTAAGAAAGAAGTAAATTCCTGGCATCATTGCTTACTACTTGTGAAATCTATGAATGATCAGAGAGGTCACATGGTACAAGGCTATTCACAACAGTTTTGTACCATGTGACAGCTGTGACACAGCTCTCACAGCATTTCTTAATGGCTGCAAGAATGCAGCCAGAGAGAGAGAAAGAGAAATGATTGCCTTTACAGCCTTTAATGGTGTAAAAGCAATCAGTGTAAAAAAAAAAAAAAAAAAAAAAATCTTAATTACCCCCCACAAGTAGTACAGTGTCACTATCGAGACACTGTACTGCTATGGTGACAGTATGTAAAAAAAAAAGCAAAAACATAAATGATAATATAAAAAAATAAAATTGTAAAAATAAATTTTTCAAAAAAGAATTTTTGGTTATAAACTAATTATTTTTTTTTTTTTTTTTACTAAAAAGATAACTGAATACATTTTGGCCAAGATTTATGAAGAGAGATTATTTATTTGCAAAATTTTATAAGAAAAACACTTTTTTTCAAAATTTTTGGACATTTTCATTTATATAGCAAAAAAAAAATAAAAAATCCCAGTGGTGAATAAATACCACCAAAATAACGTTTTATCTATCTCAAAATAATGCAAAAAAAATTCATATGAGTACAGTGTTGCATGATCGCGCAATTGTCATTCAAAGTATGATAGCACTGAAAGCTGAAAATTGGCCTGGACAGGAAGGGGGTGAATGTGTCCGGACTTGAAGTGGTTAAAGAACATTAATTGTTATCAAACTGTTCTGGGTAAAATTCTGCTTTAACTGTTTGAAAAGACCACATTTTTTGTTGCAAGAGCATGTATTAGGGTTTTTTTTTTTTATCATAACTTTTTAGTATTGGTTTTAATGTTTTATAGGTTTTATGGGAAGAAGAGCGATTTGTGAACAATTTAAAAAAGAAGCAATCTTTCATTGACTTGGGATGTGGAAATGGACTCTTGGTTCATATTTTAACCAATGAAGGGGTAAAATATATATTTTTTTTACATTCTAATTTTAAATTTTGCAAAATAAAGGTATGTAACGATAATGTGTCCTTTTGTTTAAAAATACAGTGCCTTGAAAAAGTATTCATAACCCTTGAAATTTTCCACAGTTTGTCATGTTACAACCAAAAACATCAAATTATTTTATTAGGATTTTATGTGATAAACCAACCCAAAGTGGCATAATTGTGAACTGGAAGGAAAATGATAAATGGTTTTCAACATTTTGTACAAATAAATATGTGAAAAGTGTGGCGTGCATTTGTATTCAGCCCCCGAGTCAATACTTTGTAGAGCCACCTTTTGCTGCAATTACAGCTGCAAGTCTTTTTGGGGACATCTCTACCAGCTTTGCACATTTAGAGTGAGTTTTTTGCCCATTCTTCTTTGCAAAAGAGCTCAAGCTCTGTCAGATTGGATGGAGAGTGTCTGTGAGCAGCAATTTTCAAGTCTTGTCACAGATTCTCAATTGGATTTAGGTCTGGACTTTGAGGCCATTCTAACACATGAATGTGCTTTAATCGAAACCATTCCATTGTAGCTCTGGCTGTATGAGTTGTTGTCCTGCTGGAAGGTGAACCTCTGCCCCAGTCTCAAGTCTTTTGCAGTTTCTAACAGGTTTTCTTCTAAGATTGCCCTGTATTTGGCTCCATCCATCTTCCCATCAACTCTGCCCAGCTTCCCTGTCCCTGATGAAGAAAAGCATCCCCACAACATGATGCTGCCACCACTATGTTTCACGGTGGGGATGGTGTGTTCAGGGTGTTGTGCAATGTTAGTTTTCCGCCACACATAGCGGTTTGCTTTTAGGCCAATAAGTTCAATTTTGGTCTCATCTGACCAGAGCACCTTCTTCCACGTTTGCTGTGTCCCCCACATTGACCCCAACTTCAAATGGGTCTTCTTATGGCTTTCTTTCAACAATGGCTTTCTTCTTGCCGCTTCTCCATAAAGGTCAGATTAATGGAGTGCATGACTAATAGTTGCCCTGTGGACAGATTCTCCCACCTGAGCTGTGGATCTCTGCAGCTCCTCCAGAGTTACCATGGGCTTCTTGGCTTCTTTTCTGATTAATGCTTTCCTTGCCCGACCTGTCAGGTTAGGTAGACAGATATGTCTTGGTAGGTTTGCAGTTGTGTCATACTCTTTCCATTTTCGGATGATTGAACAGTGCTCTGTGAGATATTGAAAGGTTGGGATACTTTTTTATAACCTAACCCTGCTTTAAACTTTTACACAACTTTATCCCTGACCTGTCTGATGTGTTCATTGACCTTCATGATGCTGTTTGTTCACTAATGTTCTCTAACAAACCTCTGAGGGCTTCAGCTGTATTTATACTGAGATTAAATTACACGCAGGTGAACTCTATTTACTAATTAGGTGACTTCTGAAGGCAATTGGTTCCACTAGATGTTAGGGGTATCAGAGTAAAGGAGGCTGCATACAAATGCACATCACACTTTTCAGATATTTATTTGTAAAACATTTTGAAAACCATTTATCATATAGTCCAAATTTAGAAGAAGTGGACTTTTTTTCTATATGAAAACTATTGCCTGCTCTATGTTGCTTTTGTCTGCCTTATAAAAAAGGTAACCAATGCCCAATCTCATGTCTATGGGTGGCATCCCAAGAAGCAGACAAGCATTTGAGGTTGACCTCACCCTTAGGTTATGGGGATAAGAAGGGGATGTGTTCTGTAGTCCAGCAGTGGAAAGCTCAGGCAGAGCTGACAACACTGCTTGGGATTTTAGTGCAGCAGAAGCAGTGTTGTCAGTGCACTACACGAAGTTAGGAGCTCATCAAAAAATATTTTTCTGCACTTACTACATTGTAAGAGACTAAACTTGGGGACATGCATGTATTGCAGTTTTTTTTACCCAAGCATACACATTAAAACCTGGAATCTGATTGTTTTTTTGTATTTCAATGGTTTTTATTAATTTATAACAATTAACACAGGAGCAACAAATCACGCCCACACAGGGGCTATCAATTGCACATAGAAGAATTAGAAAATTAGATCAGTGCTCTAACACCAACAGGGCAAAAGACACGCCCACAGAGGGGCCATCAATGGCACTTAAATAACAAAACATAAATATAACACTGATAATAACTCAGACTAAAGGCAGCTATCCACTGCCTCACCAAAAGCAAACAGAGAAAAAAAGGGGGGGAAGGAAGGAGAAATGCAAGAGAAAAAAGATAACCAAACCAAGAGCAGGGATCCAAGAACGCCAAAGCTGAAACCATCACATCCCCAGGCTAGCCGGGGGGAGCGTGGGAAAGGAATATTTCAACCACGGGTCCCATATTTTCAAGAATTTACATTGGGAGTCGTTGCAGATACTCAACATCTGTTCATTGAGCATCATAGTGGTCATACGGTCCCGCACCCCCTGAAGAGGGACAAACGGGCGCTTCCATGCCTGAGCAATTGTTCTAGAGGCCGACAAAAACAAATAGGAAGTCAACTTCTGCTGTTGAGACAAGAGGCCCAGTATGGGACAATGAAGCAAAGCATATCGAGCATCCCGTTGTATAGAGAGATGGAACAAGGTGAAAAGGAGGCCAAACACACGAGACCAAAAACGAAGCAGCCTCGGGCATGACCACCAGATATGCCGTACATCACCACGATGGCCGCAACCCCGAAAGCATCGATCACTGCAGGCAGGGTTCGCCTGTGCCAAACAAGCTGGAACCCAGTACCAACGAATCAATACCTTGTAGGCCGCCTCCAGCGTGGTCGTATTAAAGGAGCATTTAGCTACAAGCGACCAGGCCCTGTTCCATTCCTCCGGATCCACAACCACTCCCAGGTCGCGCTCCCACTGAACGACATATGAAAGAGAAGTATGCGACGAGCATATATTTAAGGCTGAATAAAGAAGGGAGATAAGGCCTGGGGCGCCCGGCCGCTGTTGGCAAAGCAGTTCAAAGGCAGATTTCTGGTACGGGAAAATAGAAGTGCCCCGCAATGAGAGCAGCCAATGCCGCAACTGAAGGTAAGGAAAAAATTCCACCGGAGGGACATCCCGTGATTCCCGAAGAGAATTCCAGGTGGGGGAAGGACCGAGTGGTCAAAAAGTGTCGTACTTGTGAAAAACCGTTGGCTACCCACCAAGAAAACGCCCTTGGTTGATCTAAACCCGGTGGAAAGAGGGGGTTGTTAGTAATCGGGAGCAAAGGCAAGAAAGGTGACGTTAGGCCACTGAAGTAACGTACCGAGTCCCACACTTGTAAGCCATGGAGCAAAATCGGGGCACAATTAGGTAATTCCAGTAGGACCCAGAGAGGTATGTCTGAGGAATCATGCAACATAGATAGCGGGGCGATCTGGCTCGCCTGATAATATTTAGTTACATTGGGAACCCCAAGGCCACCCTGGAGTCTATGGACAAAAAGCGTAGTTCTGAAAACTCTGGGGCGTTTATCGGCCCAGATGAAACGCATAATCTTCGCCTGAAGCAACCGAAGGAAGCGAGGAGGAACCCGCACTGGGAGGGTGCGAAAATAGTATAACAATTTTGGCAAGATGGTCATTTTCACTGAATTAATCTGTCCTATCCATGACAGGTGCGAAAATTGCCAAGAATGCATAAGAGAGGACACAGAGCGAAGCAATGGATAATAATTTGCAGCAAACAGTGAGTCATAGGTGGGGGTCAAGCGAATGCCTAGGTATTCAAGAGAAGAAGAAGCCCATTTATAAGGGAAGTGGGACTGTAGGCGCGAAACCAAATCTGAGGCCAAACTGATATTAAGCGTGACAGTCTTATCCAAATTGATACAGAGACCCGAGATTCAAAGAGAAGCACTCAAGAACCTGTTGCAAATTTGGAAGCGTCGTCAGGGGATTAGTGAGAGTCAAGAGGGCATCGTCTGCAAAAAGATTCAACTTGAACTCCTGTCCCGCGTATGGAACCCCCGATATATTACAATCAGTCTGGAGCGCCACAGCCAACGGCTCAAGCACCAGGACAAAGAGTGCTGGGGACATGGGGAATCCCTGTCTCGTACCTCACCAAACAGGAAAGGGATCTGAGAAATACCCAGCGGCTGATTGGTTTTTTTAAGCAGAGTTGCACTTTCCAGTTTTGGTTAATAATCCCCAAAGTATTGAAACCAGACGTGGTTTGGCAACTTGCATTTTCAGAAGTAGTTCAGCAATGACAGCCCATGTACATCTATTAGTTCAGGTTTCCTTTAAAGTGACTGTCACTTAAAATGGAACTATTTGGAAAAAAATTACGAGCAGACAGGCTGTGATTCTTCTGCAACAAATTAACTCATCTGCCTGTTCTCAGTACTCTGCAGAATGTACACTGATCTGCGCATGCATGTGTGATGTCACATGCACAGGCATGACCTTATCCCATGGTGGCCAGTCAGAATGGCCAAGATCGGCACCCAGAAGAAGCCAGGGAGAACATGCTGGCAAGGGACCTCGAGGTGGTGGACAATCTGAGAGGAAGTATCTCTGCCTTTAGTTCAGCTTTACAGATGAAGCTGCTGGTGGGTATAATGTTAAATGCTTGGCCAATCTAAATATGCAGAGTGCCAACATTTCCAAGTTCAACCCAATCACAAAATCCCTATTGGGAATTATTTTATGATGGGCTGCCTCGCGGGCCGGCAGGAATATTATGTGAGGGGCATGAGGGTGTGCGCAAACTCCAGTTCTTCTAGCAACTGCATTCATTTATTTTTTTCATTGACTTTATTTTTTAGGTCACTTTAAATTGCTTAAAGCATATTTGTCTTGTTCACTTGCAATGTGCAGATTTAACTCTGCACAATAATATTGTTTTCATATTTTATTTTTGACAAAACATTTTTTCCTTTTACATGCTGTTTACAACATGACCTTTAGCATAGTTCAAAAACTAATGTTCTGCATTTCATCTAAATATTAACCAGCACCCAGGTCGAGGCATTGATGTCCGAAGAAGAAAAATATGGGATATGTATGGACCACAAACCATTTTAGAGGTAAATTAAAATTCTGTTTTCGAGCTAAGCCCATGCTTTTCTTTCACTGGTGACATTTTAAACTGGTGATAGCTGTATGCTTCAACACACACAATGCCCAAGAGCCTCACAATGAGACATTTGAATATTAATCTGCATGTTTTTCATTTCAATTGTTTATTGCTTGACAAGAGGCCTTTCTAGGTGAATTTTTTTTTTTTTATTATTTGAATAAAGTCCCTTTAGATCGTTTGCGTGGTAAAGAGTTTTTGAATGTGTATTTACTGTGCTTAAAGAGAAACTGTGGATTTTTGTAGTTCTCTTTTCTTAGCTGTATTTAAATATACTCCGCTTAAATGGCAACTCCTGATAATGTGTTTTTTTTCCCCTTTTTAAGTTTTAGTTGTAGAAAGAGAAAATGAAAAGAAATTTCTTTGAACTTGCAAACCTAAGAAAGATATATTGGGGTTGATTTACTAAAGCTAGAGAGTGAAACATCTGATGCAGCTGTGCATAGAAACCAATTGGCTTCCAGATGTTTTTGTGAAAGCTTAATTGAACAAACTGAAGTTAGAAGCTGATTGGCTACCATGCACAGCTGCAGCAGATTTTGCACTTTCCAGCTTTAGTAAATCAACCCCATTGTGTCAGCTAGACATGTTCAATTCATTTTGTTACAAATCAAAATTTTAGTCATTTGGAAATTCAGATGTATCCGAATCATAATAGTAAGACATTTTAAATTCATTTTGTAGTCATTCGTTTCACTCAGACGACGATGCAACGATGAACAAATTCTGAAAACTAATTTTAACATAACGATTATGACAAAATGAAATGGTTTACTTAACGAATTAATCCGACATGAAACACATGTTTTTGTCATGCACATCTCTAGTGTCACATCTGTTTTATGGCTCTCTGCTTCTTCATGGAGGGGATATTCATAGTAATGGGAACACTAAAATAAATAATCTTTAGCAGTAAGTGCTAAAGAATATGGCAAGCCAAAAGCATTTTTCTTGTTTTGGATATAGTATGGAAGGGTTAGAACCCCATCCGCTTTTTATTTCTATTCAGGGTTCCATTAGAGAGGTTTACCTTTTTACTTTCTGTTCTTTTGACAGTGAGTTCACCGTGCAGGAAGTAAGGGAAAATCTGCAGCAGAGACACTGACAAAAATACAAATTTGACAGGGTTTTTAATTCTCCCATGTTTTACTAAAGAAAAGCATTTTTATTTCTGTCTGTGTTGTTTATGGACAGTTGCCCTCATGACTTGTCTGATCACACAATGTCAACAGGACAGCACGTAAAGAGAAATCTCCCTAACAAGGCATGGATAATAGTAAAATCCTGCCTGGGGTTTTAAATCTCCCCTAATCCGTTCAAAACTATAAAAAAAAGTTTTAGCTGGACATACACTTCGCTGTTTTTTAAAAACATTTTAGTGCATATGTTGCACATATAATAAACACCACAGTATGATCAGGGTGAGCGAAATGGTGCTTCTTTAAAGTGTTTGTTCAGCCAATACTTTTTCTTTTGTTCGTTTTGGATGGAGTGCGAACAGATGAAAACCACTGTCTAGGACCTGCAACAGGGACACAGACATAAATAAAAATGCTTTTCTTAATCGTCCTTTGAGGGACTCAGGAATTCTGAGACACAGGAGGTATGTCTACAGGAAGGTGGGACACTGGCACACTAAAGCATTAAGTCCCACCCCACATATAACCTTGATTCTAACTGTCATGCCTTCGTTTTGTGCAGGCATCCTAGGAAGTTAAATGCCTATACTTCAGATTATAGGGTCGTCCTCATCGGAGGCTTTTTCATCTCCATGGAGTGAACTCGAAGCCTCCCCTGTGTTTATAGGACCTCCTTGTCCACTTTTGGATTTTTTTCATTTTTTGCCCAATTGCTGTATCATTCTACTCATAGAGGTTCTTTTTTTTTTTTTAAAATTTAAATATTTATTTATTTTTCAAATAAAACAATACACATTTCCATAATGTAAAAATATAACATTACAAAATCTCATAAAACACTAATTTCATATCATTTTCTCCCCCTAACCCCCATCCTTTCCACCCTCCCACCTCCCACCCTGCTTCAATATACCCCTGACATCTATCTGATCAACTTGTATCTCACATCCTCTGGATACCGAGGCTTGGAAAAGAAGAAGAAAGAAAGACAGGCTAATTGCTATATTTTCTCCTTTTCCTTTGCCTTTCCCTCTTTCTCTTCCTTTCTTCTTATCCTCTCTTTCCCTTTTCTTTATGTTTACTTACTCACTCAGTACCTTCCTTTACCTTTACTTTGAACTCCTCCCATTTCCCCCATTTCATATGATATGTCACCATCCTATCTTCCTGCATATAATAAAGTTTTTCCATTCTAGCAATCTGGTCCACTCTATTCATCCAATCCTCTTCCCTCGGTACCTCAACCCTACGCCAAAACCTAGGAATCAGACTTTTTGCTGCATTTAAGTAACACATTATACCCAGTTCTTTATATTTATTTCCAGGTAATATTGAGTTATGAAAAAGACAGGTTTCAGGGTCCAGTCCTATCTCTATTCCAGTGATAATCGTGATTTGATTTCTAATTTTTTCCCAATATACTTGTATTTTTTGAACATTCCCACCATATGTGATATATCGTGCCCAGCCCTCCACACCCTCGCCAACACCAGGGTTGGTTCTCCTCACTCAACTTGTGTTCTATCACCAGTGTAAAATACCACCTTGTCAAACATTTAAAAATTCATTTCCACCTCACGCATACTAATATTTTCGTGTACCATTCTATATATTTTCCTCTGTGTGTGCTCTTCTCACTCCACTCCTAAATCCTTTTCCCATTTTTCTATGTACTTTAATTTAAACTTACTATCTAAATCCGTGAGAACTTTATATGCTTTAGCAGTGCTGTGTTTCCCATCATCTCAGTCTTTCTAAGTATTTCTCAAATTCATTCCAACTCTTTCCTAGTTCTAAGGGGCTTCGTCAATTCTCCACAAATTGTTTCAGTTGATTATATCTCCATATATCTATCCTAGTGAAAATTCTTCCCTCTTCCCTTTTCAAATCCTCATTGTTCTTAAGTTTACCCCCTCCATTACATCTCTTAACTGAGCGTCTTCCTTCATAATCCATCTACCTGAAATTTCCTCTTTACCTGGGGGGAAAAACTCTGAATTTCTTAGTGACATTAATAGTGAATTTAAATCCCATTTCCTACTGTTTGTGCATTTTATCCCACTCCCTTATTACAATTCTCGTGTATATACTTGTGTTCTCCTCTAATTCTCTAAACTGTGGTGGCACCCCTTTTTTTTTTTACACTATCCTACCCAACTCCTTTCTACTAAGTGTATTTTCAATTGTGACCCAATGTTTACTCTTTGAATTATATATCCAGTCAAAAATTCTTGCTAAAATGACTGCCCTGTGGTATCTTTTAAAGCCCGGTACTCCCAACCCCCCCTTTTCTTTATTTCTGCTTAGCACTTCATATGATATCCTAGGTTTTTTATTTTTCCATATATATTTAGTTACCATTCGCTTAATTGTCCTAAAATACACCTCTGGAAGATTAATGGGAATCATCTGAAATTTATACAGTATTTTCGGGAGAATTACCATTTTTATCAGGTTAATACGACCCAGCCAGGAAGGATTTCCACTACCCATTTTCCTCAATTCCTCTCTAAATTTCGTTTAACATTGGGATATAATTAGCTTTATAAAGATTTTTCTGTGAGGTAGTGAGGTTTTACTCCCAGATACTTTATTTCTCTATCTTTCCATATGTAAAGGGAAATTCTCTCTGTATATTTTTTTTTTCACTCTTTGGAAGATTTATATTTAATATCTCTGTTTTGCTCGGGTTAATTTTTAGATTTGACATTTCCCCATATTCCTTCAATGTTTTCATTAGGTTAGGAAGTGTTATCCTCGGGTTTCCAACATAGAATAATAAATCATCCGCGAAGGCGGCTAATCTTATGTTCTGTCTTTCAACATTTATTCCCCTTATATCTATATTCTTCCTAATTGTTAACAGGGGTTCCAATGATAAAACAAACAACAGTGGGGAAAGTGGGCATCCCTGTCTGGTTCCATTTGACATAGAAAAGGTCTCTGATCTCTCTCCGTTTACCATTACCATCGCAGCCGCGGGTCCTTCATACAACTTTCCAATCCACTTTCTCATCCTACTACCCAATCCCAGGATCTCAGTGTATCTAACATAAAGCTCCAGTTAACCCTGTCGAACGCCTTCTCCGCATCTATCGGAGAGCAGCACTACTGGTTTTTTTTTTCCGTTTTACTTTTTCTGTATAAGCATCAGGGATCTCAAACCCGTTATCTCGACCCTCCCTTCCTCTAACAAAGCCCACCTGATCTCCATGTATCCAATCCGGCATCAGATCTCTTAACCTATTCGCCAATACTTTTGCATACAGCTTCGTATCTACGTTCAATAGTGATATCGGTCTATAACTTGAACAGTGGGTGATGTCTTTACCTTCCTTATGTATTAAGACCCACCTGTGCCAGAAGGGATTTCCTGTCTTATCTCCATCTCTCCCCCCAACGCCTCCATATATCTCTCTTGAGCTGGGTATCAGTAAATCACCATATTTTTTATATCTCACGGTATACCCGTCTGGGCCTGGCTTTTCCCCGTCTTAAAGCTTTTTAATGCTATGTTTAGTTCTTCCTGTGTGATTTCAGATTCTAAGGAGTTTAATAGTTCTTCACTTAATTTTGGTAATCCTGCATTTCTTAAATAATCCCTTCTTTTTCCAATATTTATCATTTTATCTTTTTTATGTCATCCTTGGGGGCAATATTATTTTTTTTTTACTGTAGTAATCTTTAAATACCTTTGCAATGTCTCTGGTTGAATGGACTAACTCTCCCTTGGAGTTTTTTTATTTTATCTATATAGTTCCTATTCTTTCTTTTTCCTCAGGGCTCTCATCAGATATTTTCCTGATCTGTCTCCCCATCTATATCTTTCACCATTGATCTTATTAAAGGTTCTCATTTTTTCTTCCTCCATTACCTTCTCTAGTTCTTCCCTCTTTTTTATAACTCTTTGCTCTATATCTTTTTTCTTATGTTTTTTTTATGTAGGAGTTCCATCTCAGCTATTTCCTTCAAAAGCCCACTGATCTTCTCTCGTCTTTCCCTTTTTTTCCTTGCCCCAATTGCTTATAAGGATTCCTCTTACATATGCTTTATGTGCCTCCCACTCTGTAGCTAGTGATACATCCCCTGTTTCATTTTCCTCAAAGAACCTCTCTATTTCTACCCTTGATCTTCCGTCAATATCTGGATCCATGAGGAGTGTCTCATTCAACTTCCATGATAGGCCTCCTGACACCTTCCCTCCCCATCTTAATTCCAATACTACGGGTGCATGGTCCGAGAAAGTTATTGCTTCTATTTTTACTTTAACCAGATCCTCAACAAGTCGATGTTCCACCAAAATATAGTCCAATCTAGAGTATGTCCTATGTACACTAGAGAAAAAAAAGTATAATCTCTATCTCTCATATTATCAATTCTCCAGCTATCCACCAATTGGCACTCTTTCATCACCGTTTTCAATAATCCCATGGACCTATTTTCCCCTCTTTGTGCTCTAGATGTTGTATCTATTTGTGGATCCATACATATATTAAAGTCTCCCGCCACTATTGGATATCCCTTTCCAAAGTCCATCAATCTTCTCATTACCCCTTTCAAAAACATCTCTGGCTTCCTATTCGGGCAATATATGTTTACAAGCGTGCATGATTCTATGTCCTGTAGTTTACCTTTCAAGAACAGAAACCTCCCTTCCGGGTCCGTCTTTCTATCTTCAGTTCAAATCTAATGTTTCTTGCAAATCCTATAGCTACACCTTTAGCTCTCTTAACTGGGGAATCTGCGTAATACCATGTCGGGGTGTTGTCTAGAGTTTAGCTTGATATTTTTTTTTAACTCTAGATGTGTAGTTTCCTGCCAAAAAAGACGACTGAGGCCTCTCTATGTTGTAATTCTCTGTATAGTCTAAATCTTTCTCCTTCACCAAAAGTACTTAACTCTCCCTCCTCCACTTCCCAACCCGGTATCACTAATCTCTGCAGACCAAGTTTATCACAAAAATCTTCCATGTCTTCTGGGAATCTTAATATTGCTGTGATTCCATCTCTCCAACCGATTAAACTCACTGCACGGCCCCATCTGTATTTCACATTATGCTTTTTCATCAGTTCTAATAGGGGTTTCAGTGATCTCTTTCTTCTCAGAGTCTCTGCTGTTAGATCTGCAAAAATTTGAATATCTTTCCCATCATATGAAATACTTGTTCTTCCTTTGATCTTTTTCCATATCTCTTCTTTATCTACAAAGTCATGGAATTTAACAATTATATCTCTTGGTCTTTCTAATCTTTTTTCTTGTTGATATTTTCCTATCCTATAGACTCCATCCAATTTAAACGTCTCCACGTCTGTTTTCTCCATTATGGAACTCAAGATTTTGTCGATTAGCTCTTTTTAAATCTTCCCGCTTTGTCAACTCTGGGACTCCTCTTACTCTAAGATTATTTCTCCTTTCTCTGTTTTCTTGTTCTTCCATCATAAAAAGCAGTCTTTTCTGTTCTTTTCTATCTTCTTTTATCCATTTCTCTAATTTTGGGACAACTTGGGAATGAATATGAACCTTTTCCTCCATTTACTCCACCCTAGTTAACATTTGCTGCAATTCTTCCCGAATTGTCCCCATCTCTTGCTTTATTGATTTTTCCAGATTTTTGAACATCTCCGCCATTTCCTTTTTATTAGGTAATTGCAGGTCTCTTTCAAAATCTCTTGATTCAATCCCTTCCTTTAATTGTTGACTATTATATACCGGTCCCAGGGATAGTCTCGGGCTGTTATCCAGACTTATTTCCAACTCACTTTTTTCACTTACTCCCAACGTTCTTTCTGGGGTCAAATTTCCCTGTGATACATACTTTTTAATCGTACTAGATTGGGAACTCTTGGACCCACTCCCTTTAGTATTTTTTTCCTTTCATGTTGATTTTTAATGCTTTGCTTTTACTTTCGAGGCTCCTCTTTCACTTCTCCAGGTCTTCAGACCCTCCCTAGGAATCCCCTATATCCTTATTTCAGACTCAATGCTTGATAAAATGTCTTTTTTTTTTTTTTTTTAGAGGCACAAGGAGATCCATATAAATCAGGTTCAAGAACATAAATCCAGTTTATAAATAATGCATAAAGAGTTGCAAAAAAAATCCCACAGTTAACACAGTTATCACTCACCCTCCACGTTGGAGTGTCTTTCTCAATACAGTCCTCTCCTGTAGCCGTGCTCTCTTAGGGGGATTCCTATGGGTCTCTTTTTTTATATATATATTTATGCTGCTGATATGTCAATTGGAGGATTTGAGGGGATTTGAAGTTGGGAATGGTGTAGTTTGGAGGTAGTATGGCTGCATTCCCCCCCTCCACCAGTCCACCAGCTCACCCAGACGCCGAGTGTTGGAGCGTCAAGCTGACAAGCAGTCTCTCCTCCTGAAGCTCCCAGGGCTCCTTTGCGGCTGCCCACGTGTCTTCGCCGCTGCGTCCGTCTCCCTGGCAACCCTGCTCCTGCTCCTCCACTGCAGCCGCCGCGAGGGTTCCCAGTGAGCCTCCCGGTACTCGTAGAGGTTCTAAGCATGCTTCTGTGCCTTTTCCCAAGAGTTCAGCTTAGCTTGGACCTTCAAATCAAACTGTGCTCAAGGCCCCAGTTACCATTTTCATTCAGATTCCAAACAGTCTACTGGAGAGGCTGTTCTTAACCCACTTGCAGATGACTCGGTACACACTACCTTTCATTTAGAGGATCTGCCTGTTGTACCAGGCCTAAAGTCATTTAGAACTCCTTTCTATTACATCCACGTTTTATGTCATTACTCTGACGAGTAGGGCCCTTCCAGAAAATGTGGAGGGGCATATACCCTTTGAGAGGAGAATTTATTTCTTTCTTCCCACAGTAGATGCTCCAGAAATCCATGTTGACAGGCATACTACCACACTGTTCTTAGTTTTAAGGATTTCACAGACAGACAGATTCCCTAGTTAGATTCCAGTTTTAGCTAACTGGACTGACTCTTCGTCCTGTGTTTTAAGTGACTTTGATTTGTGATACTTCATGACTTTGGGTAAAATCCTTTAAAAAGGATGCTTTCATTTCTAGGGTAGGTCCTCTTTTCATTGACCATTTAGAGCAAATGTCTAGCGCTTTGAACTTTAGCTGTGACAGCCTGTTGCAAGCGTCTAGGTTTGTTTCTCTCATTGTGCTGATGTCCATTCACCTGTGTAGGCCACTCTATTTGTCTGGAAAGTGGATAATTTGCACAAAAAACAGATTGTTCTTCACAGAAAGTCACCTCTTCTGACCTGCTCTTGACACCATCATTAGCAATGCCACTGGTAGTTGAAGTTTACTGCTGTCTCATCGCAGGAGGTTAGTGGTAGAGGTGATCTTCCTCTTCATCAACCCAGATGTACTAGCACTTAGATTGTCAGAACCTTCCTCCCACTCAAGCCGTAGGGCAGATGTCCTCTATATCCTGCAATCAGCCATCACCATGAAGATGCACACCCACTTCCACAAGACCAATTTTTCATCCTTCTGGGTCCCTGAATAATTTGCTTTCCTGACATTTAAGTGCTCTAGTCACTCGTTTTATAGCCTTTAGTCTACACATTCAACTTCTTCAGCTGCCCATCTTTACCCTTCTGGATATACTACACACCATTGTTTTCTTCCATATTTTGTCTCAGTACCCCACACCCTGAGACTTCTGATTCCTACTCTTATGGAAACCTATTCAGCTCTCTTGTCTGGAGGTTCAGGCCCATTCTCCACATCCTCCTCTTTGTCCTGGCATTGCTCCTATTTTGCTTAGTCTTTTCTTCATCTAGCCTTGATTCAGATGTTGATTCCTTCCAGTATTCCTATGCAATGATTTCTACATCTGTTGGACAACTTAGTGGTTGTTCCCTGCCCCTCAGCTTGACTTTTGGGCATCCCAACGGTTTCAAAATTCCTTTGTCCCTCGAATGGATGATAAAGAAAATAAGAATTTTTTTTATAATTGCCATAATTTTTTTTTTCTTCAATTGAGGGACACATGACTCACCTCTCTGTGTTATTGGTCCTATGTACTGATTGCTTTTTAAAAATATTTTTTCTTTAATTTTTTCTTTTAGTACGGTATGGGAAGCCTAGACTCGCCAGCAGTTTTTTTATTGTTGTCTGTGATTTCTTTCTGTTTGTTAAAATGGTTCTAAATTTGAAAGTAAGTGAAGGGAAATCTCTGTAATGGAGCCCTGGGTAGTAGAGCAACCCACCTGGGATCCCATCTTTAAATCCTTCCTCACTTTATACAAACTAAAAAATAAACTTTGGCTCTACATACACTTTTTAATGAGGATTAGCAATCTGCAATGAAACAAATCAGTAGCCACTCTTTAGAGAAAATGGTGTAACTGACAGGAATAATGGTACCTTTTCCCTGTTGTGTGTTTGTTTTTTGTTTGTTTTTTTTTACTATTTGTTCTCTCGTCTGGAGATCCACCCACTTTATTTACCCCGGGGACAACTGCCATCAAGACAAAAGTGTTGTGAAATCCAAAATTGTACAGTTACACCAGAACAGGAGGAGGTGAAGGAAAATCTTCCAAGGGCGATACCTGATCATTTTTAAAGAGGCGATACCTGATCATTTTTAAAGAGATTATCTTGCACGTCCTGTTGAGCCCCTGAGACAGTAATTGAAGGGAAATCTCCACAGTGGGACACAGATAGGAAAAAAGCACAACTGATAAATACAGCTTGCAATAAAAAAGCAGACAGGAATTTCTGTCCTATACCAGTTGTCAGTAAGAGGCTGTTTTGGATAAATGCTCCTTTTTTCTGCCCTAGGAGTGTGCCATCACCCCAAGCGATGAACATTTGTTTCCAGATGTAGACTGGATAATTGGCAACCATTCAGATGAGCTTACACCATGGCTTCCTGTCATTACAGCCAGGTAATGAGACAAAAAATGACCTCTTCTGTAATTGTTTGCTAAGAGCTTTGAACTAGTAGAGAGTGTTGCCAGGAAGTCTGGTTAGTCTGTATTAATCTGTTTTCACAATAATCTAATGCAGCTATATTTTACACAGTACTTCACACGTGGGGTGGGCAGGTGGGTCTGCTTTCTGAATCCGTGTTGTGTAATATCCTCTCTCTATGCTGTCTTTATCAATCTGTTTGGTGTCCGTGACTTCAGGCGCTGCAGGGGTTAATAGATTTGGGTCTAACATTGCAGTATATTGAAGAAAGTCGTGATTGGTGCATGCCCCTTTTTTCTTTTTCTGCATTGACAAAAGTTCTTGCATATTTTCACAGGATACAACACATTCTGTGAATAGGGGGGGAAACGGATGAATAGCCATACCCTCTCCCACATTCAAAGAATGTGCTGCATTCTATGAAAACAAGACAAGGACTTGTCAATGGAGTAGTGGACAGAAAGGGGTGGGCACCCATCGGGACCTTCTTCAATGTACTGCAATGTTCGACTCAAAGCTATTACCCCCACAAAACGTTCAGTGCTGTGAAAAGAGCTTTGGGCATCACTGGAGGGAAGATTTCTATAGGGACGGTCAACCTGCAGGACATGGGACTGTCATTAAAGGATAAATTCACCTGTGGAACATATTACATGTTCCACCCACATCTGCTTCTGCCTCCTCTCCTCCCTGTGACAGTAGATGGGGGTTCCTCTCCCTGCACCTGCTGTCACTTTTCAAAAACAAAGGCTGTGTGGGGCTCCACCCACAAAGCGGTGTCATTCATTTACAGGAGTAAATATTGAAGGAGTGGGAAATGGGGAGAAAGTGACCTTGTAACTTCGGTTTTACTGGTACCACACCCCTAAGGGTCAATTCATTTACAGGAACCCGTGACTATGTATGCCTGCCACCGAGGAAGTTGGACTTGTAGTTTCAATGTGCTCTATTGTACCCATGATCTACTAATCATGGATACAATATGTTCTAGGCTCCTGCAAGGAAAAAATATTAAATGCACATTTTTATTCCATTTTCCAAAATTTAACTTTTGAATTCAGCTCTACTTTTAGGCATGTAGGTATTGTAATGACTGGAGGTAAATAAGCGCGTGTCTTTGGGGAAATTTCCCTGGCTTGATTCTGTAGCGATTCAGAAGAAACTAGTAGATGATTCAGGTGACACCCTGACACCCACCCACAGTACTAATAATCATTTTAAGTGGGCATGCCATTTAGAAGAGATCCTGTGTTAGATATATTGCTCTATCTCTGATAATCGCCGAGTGATGGCTTTGGACCCAGGTAGAAATGGAGCTTTTTTTTTGTATGCAGCAGCAGATGGTTTGCTGCTAACAGATGGTCCTGTAATTTTCCTATGGTCTCGGTTTATACATTATTTACATCTTAAAGGATTCAGCACAACCGTTATTTATACATTTACAACAAATCTTAGTTGTTCTTCAGTATCAGTCGACATTATATAATGTCCCCAAAACTACCGCTGATCTTCCGGGTTTTTATTCTAAATAAGTCTTTGCTTACTTCACACCCTGCAGAATAACATTGGCGCTTCTGTACTCTGATCTTCCCTCTGGAAAGCATATATTTGATCAGTGTGATGATTTTTCTTGCTTTTATCAAAAAAGCTTAAAGTTTAGTGTTAACCCCACTTTAAAGGTTATATTAACACTGATCGATATTACTACATTGATATCCGTGACCTTCTGGGTCCCTCTCAAGTTCTGTGCGAACACCTGCCCCACTGTAGCCTGTCCACAGGGGTTCCCTCGTTCAGCACTGCCACCATTCATAGTACGACTTTTTTTTTTTTTTTCTTTAAGTCAATACATAGAGGTTGATTTTACTAAAAAAAAAAAACTGGAGGGTGCGAAATCTGGTGCAGCTGTGCTTAGAAATCCAATCAGCTGCCAGGTTTTTTTTTGTCAAACCTTAACTGAACAAGCTGAAATTAGAAGCTGATTGGCTACCATGCACAGCTGCACCAGATTTTGTACTCCCCAGTTTTAGTAAATCAACATCTATGTATTGACTGAAAAAAGCGAGTGAACCCCTGTGTTCCCCTATAGTGTTCTGTGGGAAAGAGGCATTGACATCACCGTCTCCACCTTGTTCATTCCTAAAACGCCTTGTATTCATTGAAAACAAAATCCAGGGTGTTCTATAAATGGTGGCAGTGCCAAGTGGGTAACTACCCTGTGGTCAGTGTGTAGTGGGCTTGTGTAGAACCTGAGCAGGACTCAAAAGATCACTGTAGTAGTTTTGTCAGTCCATCAGGTGTGAGTAATGCTTATTTACATTGTGCCAAGCTTTTCCAATACATGTATGGAATATAAATAATTCCTGGAGTTCAGCTTTAAGTCTTAGTGTTGGGTTAAGGTGTTAAAGAGGAACTGCACTGCATCTGAACACCAGAAGCCAAAAAATGCTATTTAACACTTGCCCTCCAGAGGATTTACCCTCCCTTCCTGACCAGGTTTTTTTTTTGTGATTACAGCGCTGTTACTTTAACTGACAATTGCGTGGTCATTCAACACTGCACCCAAATGAAATTTACATCCTTTTTTCCCCACAAATAGAGCTTTCTTTCAGTGGTATTTGATCGCCTGTGTGTTTTTTAAATTTTTTGCGCTATAAACAAAAAAGACCGACAATTTTGAGAAAAAAATTTTTTTTTGACTTTTTGCTATTAAACATGTCCAGTAAAAACATTAAGCAAATCAAATTTCTTCATAAATTTAGGCCAAAATGTATTCTGCTACGTGTATTTGCTAAAACAAATCCCAATACACTGTAAGCACACTGCTTTGTATGGTTCTGCTATTCAAAAAAAATGTGCAGGAGCTGACGGGAGAGATCTGTGTTGTTTATACACAGGTCTCTCCCCCATCGGGGATACTCTGCGATCACCGGGTGCCGACAAGGAATCACCGACTGGGACCCGGTGATTGACAGCTGAGGCCGCTTATGGGCCTGCAAAATCACACACACACACACACGTATGTGTGTGTGTGGGTGTGTGATTTTACGCACCCGTGCTGCCCTGTAGCAGTATTTCTGTGTTAGAGCGGTGCGGAATAGTTAATATTCAAAGCAAACTCCCCTATCCATCCACGTCTCCATGCTTTATTTTGCTGATAACTCATTTTTAAAAACACCCCCTGGTATTTCTGGCAGTGGCAATCTTGAGTAAGGGCAGATGATTCATGTAGCACTTCCTGGAATCCATCTGCCCTTAGCACAGGCATTGGCTGAGCTGAGAACCCTCCCTCCCCTCCTGAAGACTCCTGGGGTGTATGACATCATATGCCTAGGCATGGAAACCAGGAAGTGCCTGAAGAAATGTAAAAAAAAAAAGTTTAAAACAAGTATGTGTGATATACTTTCCTATCTATTTACTAATGCTAGCAGCATAAGGATTAAAAATAGTCAATGTTGATTGAGAGAGTGAAGTTCCACTTTAAGTGTTATTGGGAGATTTAGTATTAACCACTTCCAGTCCGGACACTTTTACCCCCTTCCTGACCAGGGCAATTTTCACCTTTTAGCGCTATCACACTTTGAATGACAATTGCGCGGTCATGCAACACTGTACCCAAATGAATTTTTTACCATTTTTTTGAGATAGATAAAGCTTTATTTTGGTGGTATTTAATCACCACTGTGATTTGTATTTTTTTTGCTATGTAAATGAAATTCCAAAAATTTTGAAAAAAAGTGTTTTTTTAATAAAATTTTGCAAATAAATAATATTTCATCATAAATCTTAGCCAAAATTTATTCCGTTATCTTTTTAGTAAAAAAAACAAAATCCAAATTAGTTTATAAGCAAAAATTATAATTTTTAAAACATTTTTTTTTAATATATTTTTATTTTATTTTTTTATATTTTTTATTTATTTATTTATTTTTTTTTACATACTGTCACCCTAGCAGTACAGTGTCACCATGGTGACACTGTACTACTTGTGAGGGGTGATGAAGATTTTTTTTTTTTTTTTTTTTACACTGATTGCTTTTACACCCATATAGAATGTAAAGGCAATCATTTCTCTTTCTCTCTGTCTGCATTCTTGCACTCATTGAGAAGAACTGAGTGAGCTGTGATTGGTCACAGCTTGTCACATGGTACAAGGCTTTTGTGAATAGCCTTGTACCATGTGACTTCTGTGATCATTCACAGATTTCACACATAGTAAGCAATGATGTCACAAGTGACATCTTGCTTACTACTTTGCATGTGATCACTGATTGGCCAATCAGTGATCACATGATCGGGACCTCCTACAGAGGTCCCGTCCGACGATAGGTGTTTCACTGTATCCGGAGGACACAGCGGGCACCGGATCGCGGTGCTGCGCGCTCCCAGGGAGCGCGCACAAGCAGGGTGCGGGGAGGCCGTTTATAGACGGCCGTTTATAGTTTATATACAACGGCCGGTCGGGAAGTGGTTAAGGACTTGTTTTAGGGGTTGGGTAAAGAGACACCATTACTTTGCCCATTCAGACACACAGCCCACCCTCCAACCATTTTTATATACCCAGCCAAAATTAAAACTAATAAATAAAAAGCAACAAAAGTTGCAATTTGTTAGTGTGATATAATTTTTGATAACCCTGTGAATGTTTTTGGTAACATGTTCAATAAAATATACTTTTAAATGAATAGAATATATTTTCTTCCTATAGTTCTTTTGTTATTCTAGCATCTTGAAAGATGTTACCTTTTTAAAGGCCAATTCCAGCTTTTAGACAAATGTTACATGTTGCTCCCATATTTAGGGTGTAACATGGTTGCAAGTGGGCCAGGCCCTCCCCCTCTGACAGTGAGCGGGGGTTGTTCTTTTCCAGTAGCAACTGTCCTTTTTGAATTTTGCTCTGCCTGCACACTTGAATGAATGAACTACAAATCCAATCTTCCACTGCAGCAGATGGACTTGTAGTTCTCAGTGGAATAAAAGTGTGGTGATCACAGCAGTTGTCATCATTGTCACACCATCCAGCATAGTAACTGAAAGCCTGTACCTCGGTCTGGACAAGGAGCTAGAGCATGGGCTCCAAACTGTGGCCCTTTACTTGCCTTTATCCAGCCCTTAGGGCATGTTTCCTTCCACTGATACAAGGTGTTATTCTTCCCACTGCCACCAATGATGGGGCACTATTCCTCCCACTGACACCAATTATTATATAATGTTTTTTTTTTTTTTTTTAACTCCCTCTGATCACCAAGCCACATCATTGTTAACTCCCACCAGATAATTTTGTACTCTCATTGGCCACAGCCCAGCCCTCTTAAAGTTTGAGGAGTAAACTCACCCTTTGTTTCTAAAGTTTGGAGACCCCTGAACTAGAGGAAGAGTCCGGTGGGAGCACCCCCATCCACTCATTGTGGTTGCACTGTTGTGCGGGGTTTTTTTTTGCTGCAAATATGGGTGTATTTATTATTTTTTAAAAAGGTGGAGTTTGCTTTTTAAAGTAAACCTATTATAGGTTTAATATGGAGACCACCGATACTGACATCTGTCTAGTTCACTGCAGTTTATGTTGATCCTCTGGCTTTAATACTGTCTGGGATTAAGTATACAAGTTGCAGAAGTGATCCTTACTTTCATGCTTATTCAGTAATAAGTGATTTAAGACATTAAAGCAAGATGGCAAACCTGGCAGGCAGGCAACTAGCATTTTCATATGCAGTCAGCAGTGGCACCTTACAGAGTTCCGGTGACATTGTCTCCTAAGGACAAATGACTTCACTTATGTGTACATGTACATTTTAGATCTTGTATGGCTTCATTTAGCATTTATTCCCCCAGATCCTCCTACTCCTGTCGCTACTTTGTACTACCTTGCTGCTTCTTCAATTTCTATGGCAAATACAATAGAAAGTCCAGTAAGAAGACTCAGTATCGAGAATACCTGGATTTTGTCGCTGATATTGGAACTCAGTGTGGCTTTAATGTGGAGGAGGATTGTCTAAGAATTCCATCAACCAAAAGGGTAAGTGTTAAGGTGTACTCTGAGAACCTTGTCACTCAAACAATGCTATACATTCCATTGGTAGATGATACTGCACTTAGGCAAAGCAGCCTAATGCTACTGCTATGAATAATCCCTAACGCTGTCCTAACAGAAGAGCAAGACAATTTGCCTTTTATCACATGGTTTCAGTTTATACAATCATGCTGCTGTGCTGTGCATTGATAAACAAAAAAAAGGACATGTAAAATTTTTGTGTAGAGTATAACTTGCAGCAATAGCATACAGTCAATTAAAGGGCTTAAAACACAATACCAATCATGTTGTGTCATTCATAAAAGCAAAGCTATGGGTGCCATGGTAGCATGCATGAATGTCTGGAAATGTTAGGGTAGATGACCGCTTTGGACTAAGGTCTGATGTTCACAGGAGTTGGGGTAAGAGACAAAGTCCACTGTGCACGTCCAGATCAGCATTAAATCTTCTTAGCAGAAAAAAGCAGTAGGCATAACTTTTATTTTTTTTTTTTTTTTTTAGTAATGCACTGAGATCAGTGTCCCCAAAGTTACCAAATAGACACCATTCTGGGTTGGGAATATTAAACATCTGAGAGGGTCCAAGTATAACGCAATTCTGCAAGTCTAGTTTGTTCCATGTAAACTGCGGATCTGATCATCTGTCATTGCAATACCTTAAAGTGATACTAAAGAGATATATTTATATATTTTTTTGTTAAATAACAAACATGTTCTACTTGCCTGCTTTGTGTAATGGTTTTGCACAGAGCATCCCCGATCCTCCTCTTCTCAGATCCCCCGCCGATGCTCTTGGCTTCTCCCCCAACGCTGAGTAGCCCCATAGCAAGCTGTTTGCTAGGGTAGCACTTATGTGTGCTTGCTCCCGAGCCAGCTCTGTGTGTCTAGCACAGAGAGCAGCTTAGCCCCTCCCCCCCCCACTCCCTCCTCACTGGCTGTGATTGACAGTGGTTCCCGCTGTTTTGTCTTACCCAATGAGGAGGAAGAAAGACTTTTTTCTAAAAGGTGAACTTATCTTTTTAATCGTTAGAGCGTGAATGTCAGATTGTTTTTGTTATTGTTTTATGATGTGAGACTGTGTTCACAGATGTCAAAATGTGTTTTCTTAAGATAAATTAGGTTGTTGGTTAGTTAGGCTTATAATTGAACAATAGCATGATTGGACTTACATGATAAACCCTCCATTATTTATTTAAACATGTTTAAAATTATGGTAAAGTAATATACAGTAGGGAAAATAATTATTTGATCCCTGGAGAGTTTGTATGTTTGCCCACCTACAAAGAAATGAAGGGTCTATAATTTTTATCATAGGTGTATTTTAAATGATATCAAGAATATCAACCAAAAATCCAGAAAAAAACACAATACAAATGTTTATAAATTGAGTTGCAGTTCAGTGAGTAAAATAAGTGATCCCCAAGCAAAATATGACTTAGTACTTGGTGGAGAAACCCTTGTTGGCAAGCGCAGAGGTAAGATGTTTCTTGTAGTTGGTTACCAGGTTTGCACACATCTCAGGGATTTTGGTCCACTATTCTTTTACAGATCTTCTCTAAATCCTTAAGGTTTCATGGCTGTTACTTGGCAACTCAAAGTTTCAGCTCCCTCCATACATTTTTGATCGGATACTGGCTTTGGCTTTGACCTCAATGTGCTTCCTCTTGAGCCACTCCTTTGTTGCCTTGGTGATATATTTTGGGTCATTGTCATGCTGGAAGACCCATCCACAACCGATCTTCAGTGTTCTGGCTGCGGGAAAAAGGTTCTCATTTAAGATTTTACAATACATGGCGCTGTCCATTGGCCCCTCAATGTGGCAAATTCGGCCTGTACCTTTAGCAGAGAAGCAGTTCCAAAGCATAATGTTTCCACCTCCACGCTTGACTGTAGGGATGGTGTTCTTAGGGTCATAGTCAGCATTTTTCTTCCTCCAAACATGGCGAGTTGTGTTAATGCCAAAGAGCTCAATATTGGTCTCATCTGACCACAACACTTTCTCCCAATCCTTCTCTGAATTATTTAGATGTTCAATGGCAAACTTCAGACAGGCCTGTACATGTGCCTTCTTGAGGAGGGGGACCTTGCAAGCACTGCAGGAATTCAAACCATGGCCGCATATTGTGTTACCAATGGTTTGTTTGGTGACTGTGGTCCCAACTGCCTTGAGATCATTCACAAGCTCCTCCAGTGTAGTTCTGAACTGATCCCTTTTTCTCATGATAATCCTTATCCCATGAGGTGAAATCTTGTATGGAGCTCCAGACCAAGGGTGATTGATGGTTATTTTGTATTTCTTCCATTTGCGAATAATCCCTCCAACAGTTGTCTCCTTCTCGCCAAGCTTCTTGCTGATGGTCCTGTAGCCCATTCTAGCATTGTGCAGGTTTACAATCTTGTCCCTGATATCCTTTGACAGCTCTTTGGTCTTTCCCATGGTGGCCAAGAAAGAGGTCAGGTGTGGACAGGTGTCTTTTATACACATAACGAGTTGTCGTTAGGAGCACCTTCTTAAATTGACATGACTAATCTATTTACCACATGAGCTCATAGCCAGTATGTGGAAGCCAGAATTATTGTTGATTGTTAAGGGATCAAATACATATTTTACTCACTGAACTGCAACTCCATTTATAACATTTGTATCTTTTGTTTTTTCTGGATTTTTGGTTGATATTCTGTCTCTGTCATTTAAAATACACATGATACAAATTCTAGACCCTCCATTTATTTGTAAGTGGGCAAACTTGCAAAATCTGCAGGGGATCAAATAATTATTTTCCCCATTGTAACTGTAAGGCTCAGTTCACATTAGTGCCACTTATCATTCGACTTTGGACACAAAGTGATATAACAAGTCGCAATCCATTTATTTCAATGGAACCTGTTCCAATGTATACGACTTTAAAAAAGATTCCTGCACTACTTTGATGCGGCTTTCTTGCAACTTGAGTGCCATAGAATGTGAAATTTACACTAGAAATTGCTCTACTTTGGAGTCGCACTAGTGTAAACCAAGTCTTAATGATCACTTGTGTATATATTATACTTTTTGTTTCATTGTAATTACTTGATCACAGGTGTGCCTTATTGGAAAATCAAGAAATTACCTACCAGAGAAGGAAGAACAGATTGATAGGGAGAGGACAAAGTACATAGCCTGTCATTCTAATGATACATCAGACTCTGCATGTACCAGAGAAGATAATGTGCTCTGTGATCACTCTGCAAATGGAGAAGAAAGCTCAGATGTTTCCCTGATGGTCCAGAGACAGGACATAAGAACTGGCTGTCATCGTTCCGGCCTAGAGACAAGGTGGAGCAGATTAGGAATTGTGCTTTGCTTCCCAGAGACTTTGTTGATAAAGTAGTTCAGCAGGTTGCAAAGCTATTACTACATCGGAACACAGAGGAGAACCCAGAGCTCATTGATAATGAAATACAGGCGAAGTGGAACAGAGGCAGTAAGTGCCTATTTGTCTCATTCAAAGTCATTTTTCCCTGAATAGTGTATTTGTATATAGTGCATTTATTTCATAACATAACATCTGGTTATTCTGTGCCTTTTTAAATCTGCAGCTTAACCTCTTAACTCGAGCTGTACGCATATATGCAGCCTCATATAATGTATGCATACCAGAACGTAGACAGGGCTGTGCCAATAGCGCACGTACTGTTCACTCCCGACACATTACTGGTGGCTAACGGAAAGCTCCTGATCTCTACTTGTGGTCGGGAGCTTTCTGATCATGTGACCGTCTAACCACCAATTACGGCAGTCACATGATCAGAAACCCCACCCCGTTTCCCGGCATCAGAAACCTGTTAAAGGGCTGAGAGGTGCCGGCGTTAAGGAATTAAAATATGAATCTGTACGTACAGTAGGTTGCAGTGATGGAGCATTTAAATTTCTTATTATATCTTTTGGTTTCTTGGTTTTAGAAGTAATAATAACTAATCAGTTATTCCAAGCTCACAGTTGTTCCCGTGCCTGTAGGCGCAGGTGGCAGCTGGATGGAGTTCATCCATGCACCCTGTATCTCGGTAGCAAAAGACCGGCCACCTACTGATAATGTCAGCATTTTGTGAAACTTTATTGTTCCAGACAGAAAACCCCCCCCCCCCCCCCCAGGACTTGCTCACTTTGACACATTTCATCCAGAAAGGGCTTAAGCTGGCCATAGATGGATCAAAATTCGGCTGGTTCAGCAGGGACCCGGATACATTTTGATCCTTCTATGGCCATTCCTTCTTAACAGAAGTTGATCTAATGATTGACTTCTGTCAACCGGGAATGTTGGAAAACTTTCATTCGATGAGCAGCTATGGCCGATTGGCTGCAGCGCTGATCAGTGTAATTTCACAGTGTAGGAGTCTGCTTTAGCACAACAGGGAGAATTCCTCCAATCATCCTCCTTGCTTTTGGGGGAATTGTCTTTTTTTTTTTCTCTTTCAATCAGCACTGGAAATTCCCTGACAGTAGCACAACGAAACACAATTCCTCCCCCCCCCCCCCCCCCCCAAAGAAAAGAGTGCCAAATGTGGCAACGGAGGGGAGGAGGAGGCAGAAAAGTGGAGCTCCCATGGTTGGGTGGAACTCCACTTAAATTTCTCACTTTTTAAAATCATTTTTTTGCTAGGAAATTACTGAGAACCCCCAAGCATATTTTTGAATATGTTTGAAAGCAGAAAACCCTGCAGAATAAAATTATGACTGTTTATGTTGATATCTGTGCAGCCATTTATCAAAAAAAATTTCTAGAAAAAATACACTTATATGCATTTTAGTGCACACAAACCCACTACAATATCCAATTTTTGGGGTAAAAAAGATGATGTTGCGCCAAGTAAATGGATAACAAGCATATCATTTAAAATTTTGCATTTCTGTTCAGTGACAAGCTATGGTACATTAAAAAGAAAAAAAACAAATCTATAGGTGATGATTTAAAAACCTTTTTTACGCTTTCTCTTTCTTTTTTTTTTTTCTTTCTTTTAACTTTATTGCAATCACAGGTGAATAACATCTGTTAGACCCCTGATCCTTTCTTTGCCCTCCAGAGTAGCCGATGAAGTTGAGATCGGTTTGAGCGACTGCTTCACTGGCTGGTAATAATTAGTAAACAATGAACCAAAACCAGAACTGAATAAATCCTCTTCGCTTTTAGCTTCATTCGTCACAGAGAAGGGTGAGGAATGGATGTAGACGGGATAAGGGTGGGGGAGCCACTTTCGTCGCTGGCTAAAAAGCTGGATACCCGAATCATGGCTGCAGCTGCTGGTATAACCACTTATCACCCAGGATGTATATATACTGGGCTGGGAGACAAGTGGTGTATGAATGTACATTTTAGCATAGAGCAAAGAAACAATTAGAGATCAAAATAAAATCATAGGATCATTTGGTAATTACTCTCAGAAATGTGTGATTTTTTGGTGGCGTTGGGTCTTATTGACCTCATTTTAGCATTCCGTGCACTTTACAAGTGTCCTTTTGATGATGTAGGGAGCTATATTCTCTAACATCTTCACTTTCTTTGCAATTTTATCTAAAGGAAACACCTATACTTTTAATGGTCAGTCTGTCTTCCTTTAACTTTCTTTTTCTCAACATTATAAGAGCTGTACAATACTTCCTGCTGTGCAGTATTGCCAAGTATTGCTTTTATAGAGACCGATGGAAAGTAAGTAATGGATAAATATTCTATTGTTACTCAAAGTCACATTATTTTTACGTTTTTGGAATTCTACACTTATTGTTAACCTCTGCCATTTTATCACTTACTCTTTTGTATCATTTCATGCACATATACAGCGGGTAAAATAAGTATTGAACCAAATCTCGTTGGAACGATGACCTAGACCATATGGATTTGGAGACCTGGGATGAGGTGTTGGAAAATGTCAGACAGGTCTCCCCAAAATTACCTGATAGACTCTCCCAACTTTACATCGTGCATATCTCACGCCAGTATGTGTCTCTTGCTACCGTCCTGGCCGTTGCCCTCTCTGCCTGCTGAGTCAGTTGTCCTCTGGTACGTTCATTCATCTCTTATGGTTCTGCCCGATTGTTCAGACTTTCTGGCTACATATGATCAAATTTTTGCATGATCACATGGGCTCACCCCTTCAATTGGATCCTGGAGTGTGCCTGTTTGGCTCCCTCCCAGATATGCCTGAAGATACATTTTTAGTTGTTCTCCTCCATTAAACTTTATTCTGTGCACGTAAACTCCTTGCACACTACTGGATGCAGAAGACCGCTCCTACTTTACAATTATGGTTAATGGAGGTCAACTCCACTCTACCATATAAGAAGCTTATTTATGCTCACAGAGGATGCCCCACGAAATATAACCAGATTTGGGATAGGTGGCTTGCCTCTTCGGCTTCTTGGCTGGCTGAGTGTCTGGGGCAACCTGCTGTGCAACATTGCGGAGGTTTTTGCCATTGATTCTTCACCCTGTTTGTTGTTCTTTCATTATGACTGTGTGACCCTACCCAGGGCTTTGGTCCTGCATAATGTTGTTTTTCCTGTTGCAATGCCATCACACCTTAGCCTGTGTCTGTACGTTATTGTCTAATGATAATTCCGTTACTAATGTACCATGCGCTATATGTTGCTGTATATTATGCCCTGACCTGGGGGCTTGGGTTCGCTTTTTGTCTTTACCTTGTCTTCTTTTCCCTTTTTACTCATCCCCCTTCTTCTCTTTTCCTATTTTTGCACCATTGTTTGCTACTTGAATGTTACATACTGTATTCCTGTTTAATTTGTTCTAATAAAGTTGCTTTTCAAAGTTAAAAATAAGTATTGAACACATCACCATTTTTCTTGGTAAATATATTTTTAAAGGTCCTATTGACATGAGATTTTCACCACATGTTGGTAACAACCCATGCAGTCCATACATAAAAAGAAACCAAAACAAATAAGTTCAGAAATTAAGTTTTGCTTTTTATTAATAAAATGGGATGACACAGGGAAAAAGTATTGGACACATGAAGAAAGGAAGTTGCAAAAAGGCATGGAAAGTCAAGACATCAGCCGAAATCTATCAGTAATTAGAAAGCAATTCTGCCCCTTGTCAGTGCAAATTAATATCAGCTGGTTCAGTCTCAACTGATGGCCTATAAAAAGGTGTCTCATTACCAAGGTGTCACACAAGAAACCTCTCATGATGGGTAAAAGCAAAGAGCTCTCTCAACACCTTTGCAACCTTATTGTTGCAAAACATACTGGTGGCATTGGTTACAGAAGGATTTCTAATCTTCTGAATGTTCCAGTGAGCACTGTTGGGGCCATAATGTGGAAGTGGAAAGAACATCATTTCACCAAACCGGCCATGACCAAGTGCTCCTCGCAAGATTTCTGACAGAGGAATGAAAATAATTATCAGAAGAGTTGTGCAAGAGCCAAGGACTTGTGGAGAGCTTCAGAAATACCTGGAATTAGCAGGTACAATTGTTTCAAAGAAAACAAGTAATGCACTCAATCGCCATGGCTATGTATGCACGATCCCCACGCAAGACTCCATGAAGGAGAAAAAGCATGTTGAAGCTCATTTAAAGTTCACTGCACAACATTTAGACAAGCTTGTAAAATACTGAAAGAATATAGTCTGGTCAGATGAGACCAAAATTGAACTCTTTGGATTCCATAATACACACCATGTTTGTAGGTCAAATACCACTGCACCACAAAAACACCTTACCAACAATGACGTTTGGAGGTGGGAACATCATGGTGTGGGGTTGCTTTTCAGCATATGTTACTGGCAAACATCATATCATTGAAGGAAGGATGAATAGAAAAATGTACCAAGAAATTCTTGTTAAAAATGTGCTGCCATCTACCAGGATGATATGAAACAATGGTGGATATTTCAGCAAGACAATGATCCCAAATGCAAAGCCAAGAAAACTGTCAATTGCTATACTTATTGGGTGAAATATATTATATAATCACAGTGACTGGTGAATCAAAAAAAATGGTTGTAAAAGAACCTTAATAAATTAGGCTGATCTCAATCAATTAATAGTAACCAATAAATTGAAATTAGAGTGTGTATAAATACTTGGTGCCACTCATCAATCCATCAATATTGTGCAAAAACATATATTAATATTAATGTGCAAGTGCAAACATAATAATACATGAATAAATAAATAAAGAGTCTTTTGAAGTAAGTGCAATGTGCAGGTGAGTTCCTTATTCCCTTTTGCCCCAGGTGCCTTGTGGTCTCCCTATGCGCTCACCTTAATATTTGCCCAAATAAATTCAGGCAAATAAACTTTTAATCCTTCCAGGATTGATGGAATAATGCTGATGTATAGGATGTTCCACGAGGTAAGTGTAGATCTATTATGGATACTCCTGTACTCTCCTCTCTCTCCTTAGGCTGCTGCTCATAGGTGAGTATTTACACCAGCTCTATAGGGATCTCCTTGTTCCCCTCCTGGG